TTTTTTCCAACTGCGGAGCGCCACGACGCGCTACGGCACGCAACCAAAAAAAAAAAAAAATAACACCCGAAGAAAGAAAGAAACGTCCATGTGCCTGACTGAACTGCTAGAAAAAGCCAGCCCGAGTTTCAAACTGCTAAAATGCAGTTTCAAATGCAATTGAAACTCGGGCCCTGACTAAACTGCTAAAACGCAGTTCCAAATGCAATTACAAACGGTAACCCTGACTGCGCCGTAGTTTTTTTTTTTTTTTTTTTAAATACACCCCTGGTGATGCTAGAGGTGTTGACATAATCAGCCACCTCTAGCACCCCCAGGCAGGCTCAAATAACACCCTGACATTTTATCCTCTCTCTTTTATTTTGTTTATAGAAAAAGAAAATGATTACCATTTTTTCAGTATATTCTTTGCCGCAAGTCTGTCACTGTTTCCTTGTTTTCTCACAGTGTCATATAACCACAGCCATACAGGTCTGGGAAAAACACTCCCGACCAATCCCATCCCTGACCGCAGCCAATAAACCCCCAAACCCTCACTACTGTCCACAGGAACCCCAAAAGACCTCAGAGCCAAAGCTCCCTAATTCACAATCTCCTCAGAACCCAAAGCAAAGTCTCCAACAATCCCCGGTACTGAGTTGCCAACAAGAAGCAAGCACAATTTAAAGGAAATTCAAACCAGCAGCGACTCAGCCCTGTATGGTTGCGGTTATGTGGAAGGGACGCCGGGCCCACTTCCGGGCATATAATGGGAAAAGAAATTGCAGCAAAAAATAAATAAAAATAAAAAATGATAAGGATTCAGTTGCAAAATTGCAGATTATGGGCCTCTCCACACCACTCTTGAAAACTCATTTTCAAGAGTTGCTGCATCAGCACACAGCCTCTTGAAACTTGGGGCAGTCTACATCAGTCAGAGTGGCTCTTGAAACCCTTTCAAGCGCAGCTCTTGAAACAGGCGGCCGAAGGCCGAGTTATCCTATTAAGATACGCCGATGATTTTGTTGTTCTTCACAAGGCTCAAAGAGTTGTTCAGGGCGCTCAAGGGTTCCTTTCACAATGGCTCCAACCCATGGGCCTGCACTTCGTGCCTGATCAAACTTGCTTTGTCACTACGGGAGAAGGATTCCATTTCTTAGCACATAACGTACGTTCTCCACCTTGGCAAAGCGTCTAAATTCCACGGGCACGTCAGCAGAGTTGCTCTGTCCAAGAAATCGCAGGACCCCAGCTTGCTGCGACTCGTGCGTTTCCAAGCGTCCTTTGCTGAACCCTTGGGGGACTAATGATTTTCAAGTCTTGTGGGGCCGTTATCCTGACGCCATTCAAAAAAAGTACAAAACTGTACGACCGTCTTTTTGCATCCTTTGTCTTTTTGCACTGTACTCGTTTCGAGAGTGCAGGAATAGAATGTCGGTCGACCGTATATTTGAACACAGAACAGCTCCCTAGGTTGGATTCGAACCAACGACCCAATAGATAGGGTAAGCAGTGTGTGTAATCTGACTAAGCTTCCCTCCGAGCCGTGGCAGTGTGGCTGTTCGCGATTGGCCCCAAACTCTCGAAAATGCAACTTTCGACATCGTCTGCCAGCTCTTGAAGCATTTCCCTGTTTCGCCTCGCCGCACCACTCTTGGAAACTTGTTTTCAAGAGTTGCTGCAGCGCCAGGCAGCCTCTTGAAACTTGGGGCAGTCAACAGCAGTCAGAGTGGCTCTTCAAACCCCCTTTCCAGAGCAGCTCTTGAAAGAGTGGAAACCCCAGCCTGCCTGCAACTTATGCGTTTTTTGTTTTTTTTTTTCTTTTTTTGTTTTTTTTTAAATAAAACATTTGGACCATTTCTCGATTAATGCGTGTCATCCTTGCGCAGGGGCCATGCTAATCTTCTCTGTGGGCCTCGCCACACCACTCTTGAAACGGGGAAATTTTTCAAGAGCTGTCAGACGTTCTCAAGAGTTGGGTTTTCGAGAGTTCCAGGCCCCTCGCCACACAGCACTCTCGAAAGCGTGATGGTGTTGGACAAACGATGGAAAACGGCAGTCGTGCAGCTTTGTTTTTTCCGAATGGAGTCAGGATAACGGCCCCACAGCTCTCGAAAATCGAGACTGCAGGCTGGGCGTTTAGGAGTTTCGAGAGGTACTCTCGAAACGAGGTTCTGACAACTCTCGAAAGAGTTTTCGGGCCACAACTCTCAAGTGGCTGTGTGGCGACGGCTCCAACTCTTGAAAACCGGGTTTCAAGAGTGGTGTGGCGAGGCCCTGTATCGTTCCAATTTTAACGGATGTCCCGAAGGACTTGTGCGTTTTCATTGGCCTAACCCTTTGGCCTAACCCTTGAGGGACTATCCATTTTCAAGAGTTGTCAGGCCGTTCTCGTGATGCCATTCCCAAAAAACAACATCCTCTGTCCAACAGCATCGCCCTTTGGAGAGTGCTGTGCGGCGGGGGGCCGAAAACTCTTGAAAACCCGACTCCTGAGAACGTCTGACAGATCTTGAAAATTTCCCGTTTCAGGAGTGGTTTGGCGAGGCCCAATATCTGATCCGTGGGCCATCGGTTGCAAGAGTTACAACTCACAATAGAAAATCGGGCCAAAAGGGAAAAAAAAAAAAGAAAAAAAAAGAAAAAAAAGATAGAGGGTAAAAAAGGAAGAGCACTTCGCGTCTGCCATCTGGCGCTAGGCGATGGTAACGCGAGTAACCTGCTGAGCATACAAGTTCTCGGCCCTGTGCTAGTCGCACCACTGCCATCCGCCAAGATGTTGAATGCATCCGGACAGCGAGTCTCTGAAGATGCATTCAAAATGTTGGCCGATGACGAGCAATGCGACCGGACCCTCAGGCCTATGGGAGACACCGGAGAGAAGTATGAACGGCTCACCCATCTGCAACCGACTCACCGAGGTTGGGTTTGCCAGTCGGTTCACCCGAAGGTCGGCGGTTATAAAACCCCGAACTCGGCACATGTCGCGTAGGGAAGGTGCCGTACTTGGTAGCATCAGGCGGGAGGTGTCACTGCACGCGGAAGGGGAGTGGAGGAACAGAGGGAGCATCGTGAAACGAAGCCGAGCGGAGAAAAGCCACGAAGGCTAAGGAGGGTGAAGTGGAACGAAGACGAGAGAGACCAGGACCGGTAGAGCAAGGATCACGGCGATGGCTGCGTCAACGAGAGCGATGGCGGCCTTCCTTCTGGGCGCGGTCATTGTGCTTCTCGGTGTTACGACACGGGCAGCAGCTCAGCCAGAGGCTGCAATCACAGCCTTCAAATACATGGGCTCCGGATGTCCAGCCAATTCCGCCGTGGGGGAGATCAGCAAGGACGGGCAAGTACTTACCATGAAGTTCAGCGAGTTCAGCGCAACGACCGACGGAGGCAACGCCGGCAAACGGAAGAACTGCCAGATCARCMTCAAGATGASGTATCCYKMKGGCTGGAYTTACTYSCTGG